TGGCACTGGGACCATACCTGCACACCATTCTGTTGGTTCTTCAACTCTGCTGATTACTCCCATGGACTCCATTCTTTCCAGTTCCCGTTTCACCTTTCCTAACAAAGGGATGGGGACCCGTCTTGGTGTGGCCAGGGAAAAAGGCACAGCATTGGGTTTCAACTTTATCGTATAAGGTTGTTGCATTAAACCTAATCCCTGACACAGCTTTGGGTAGTTCTCATTCAACACATTCATGTCAATACTGTCAGCTCTACACAAAAGGTTCAGCTTGACACTTGCTGGCCTGCTTAACAGTGCTATGTGCAAATCTTTGATAATGTACACATTTTCCTGTATTCCCTGTTCACCTTTGCAAATTGTTTCTCTGCTCATACCCAACACAACAAGTGGAGTACCACCTGGACCAAACAATGGTCTATCTGGTTTACATAACTCTGTCTCATTTTGGTTTATGCAGTAATACATCTGGGCTGGGATAACAGAGACGTCAGCTCCTGTGTCTATCTTAAATCTAACTTTGTGGTTTCTGATAGTAAGGTCTGCATACCAAGGATCTGAACCTGCGTCTACAGAACCAAGAAACACGGGTGTATCATCACTTTTCTCTGTTTCTATCACATGCACAGATTTAACAGATTTACACACTTTACTGAAGTGTCCTCTTTTACCACATGAGTGACATGTTGCATCTTTTGCTGGGCATTGTCCTTTACCATGCGCAGGGGTTTTCCCACACCTGTAGCATGATCTCCCATTTGGTGTTTTGTCCTTTGTTGTGCATTTACGTTCTCTTCGGGGTTTGAATGTTGAATGCTTTTGTTCCCTGTGCTTCGCTGTCACAGCATCTATTTCCATCTTATTTTCCCTGCTGATGTCTGTCTGTTGTTTTTTTGATGACTTCAGACTGCCGGGCCTGGTTAACTGCTTTCTCCAACGTCAAATCTTTGTCCATTTGAAGTCTCTCCGCTAAGCTGATGTCCCTCAGACCCACGACGAGGCGATCTCTTATTAACTCATCGTGCAGTGCACCATAACTGCAGTTTTCAGCTAAAGCATAAAGTGCGATGACAAACGAGTCAACAGTCTCATTAGCTTGCTGTGTTCTTTGATTAAAGCGGGCTCTCTCATAGATAATGTTTTTCCTGGGAACAAAGTACGTATCCAAAGTGTCTCTTACTGCTTAGTACGGCTGCCTTTGTATGTCCGATAAAGCTTGCCCTCGGAGGATATCATCTGCTTCATCCCCCATGCAGTAGATGAGTGTGTTTACCTGGTTAGTCTCTGAGCTAAGGTGCAGGTTGCTTGCAAGTCGAAATCTTTCAAACCTCCTTATCCCACTTCTTACTGCAATCCCGCTTCTGACACATGGTGTCAGAAGCGGGATTGCAGTAAGAAGTGGGATAAGTGGCAAGGATCTTTACACAGCCTGCACCTGGGGTCTTGCCTGGTGTGATAGCCCCCAGCCTCTATGGATCTTGTACTCAGAGCTTGTTCTTGTGCTGCCATGATTAGTGCCTCTGTGCTGTCTTTCAGTCCAGCTTTGTCCAGCCACTGGTAGGATTTCTGGATATCAGCCACCTCCTCTATCTGCCGGTGGTACATACCGTGCAGGGGTCTGTCCTTCCATGATGGTTCTTGCTCCCCTTCTTTCTCAGGTTTCTGTTGCCTGACATTTTCAGCAAACACACAGTCAGTTATGGCCATCTTCCTGATGTACTTCCATATGCTGTTCCAGTATTGCTCCGTCTCCAGCCTTGGTGGGGCTGGTTTTATATTGTCCCCCTGTCACTGCGAGTACACCTTGGATGGTTCAGTGGAGAACATCTAGTTTATTCTCCTGCCTTCGATCTCTCTGGTGTACCTCTTCAAGGCCAAGGTTGTGAGTCTTTCCATGGCAGTTTCCGAGACCCTTTGTACTTAGGTATCAATCTACAGTGGTGGGAATTGTTTTTGTATATTTGTCACCCTTAGTTGTTTCAGACAAAAAAATGTAAATGTTAGACAAAGATAACACAACTAAACACAATGCAGTTTGGAAATGAAAGTGCTTATTATTAAAGGGAACAAACCCAAGCCTACATGGCTCTGTGTGAAAACTTGATTGTCCCTAAACCTAATAACTGGTTGGGGCACCCTTGGCACCAACACCTGCAATCAAGCGTCTGAGATAAGTAGCAACGAGCCTTTTACAGCTGTGGAGGAACTTCAGCCCACTCATCTTTGGAGAATTGTTGTAATTCAGCCCCACTGGAGGGGTTTCGAGCATGAACTGCTTATTTAAGGTCATGCCACAGCATGTCAATCGGAGTCAGGTCAGGACTTTGAGTAGCCCAAAGTCTCCAGTCCCTGACCATCACACTACCACCACCATATTTTACTGCTGGTATGATGTGCATTTTCTGAAAAGCTGTGGTAGTTTCATGCCAGATGTAATGGGACACACACATCTGTCCCAAAGGTCTTGGGGATCATCCAGATGTTTTCTGGCAAACTGAGACGAGCCTTTATCCTTTAGCTCAGCAGTGGTTTTCTCCATGAACCCTGCCATTCAGGCCATTTTGCCCAGTCTCTTTCTTATGGTGGAGTCATGAACTCTGACCTTAACTTCAGTTCTCTGGATGTTGTTCTGGGGTCTTTTCTTCTTTTTGCTCTTTGGGTAATTTTGGTTGGCGGGCCACTCCTGGGAAGGTTCACCACTGGTCCATGTTTTCACCGTATGTGGATAATGGCTGTCACTGTGGATCACTGGACTCCCACAGCTTTAAAAAGACCAGATAAGAAGTTTGCGTACATAAGATTTTCTGGAGGAGGACAGACATTTGTTTAGAACTCTTAAAGATGTCAAAGAAACTCCTTTAAACAATTACTTTGGTGTTCCTCCACCTCCAAAGAAATGTCAGAAGGAGTCCGAACCGCAAAAGAAGCACGCATTCTCGGAGAAGTGGTTGCAGGAGGTGAGCTGGCTTCAAACAAACAATGAACGCACAGAGATGTGGTGCGGAATATGCTGTGAAAATCCCACTCTCGCAGACAAAAACAGTGCCTTTTATATGGACGCAAACGCAGTTTGCAACTTCTTATCTGGTGCGCGTCTTTTATTTTGACAGCGCGTGCGCACCTGCGGACCACTCATGTGCACCCCTGATTATAACATAAATTAACTGAGGTGTATCACATCTTTGAAAAGCTGAGTTCAATCTCTCTGGCCTGATTACTGCCACACCTGTTCTCAATAAGGGCATCACTTAAATCTTTCTCAACACTTCCTCTAACGTCCAGCAGAGGCAGCAGTGAGTCAGCCCCCGCACACTCTCACGTTAAAATTAACATGTTTAAAGCCTCAGAGACTGTTTTGATAATTTTCCCCTCAGAGCACCTGTACAGGAGACGGATGACTTTAGAACTCACATTAAGGGTTTTAATTTGCATTTTGTGAAGTTTTCTGTGAACGGACAATAGCATGGCGCCGTTGTCCGTTCTCATCAGCACGCTGACGCTCTGGGACTACACAAAGGAAAGGTACGCTCTGTCTCAGTGTGTGAAGATGAGAATCAGAAGTACTCCGTCTTCGCCAACTTGTCTGTCACAGGAAGCAAAGCTGACCTTTGACCTCTATGTACCCCTCACCTGTAATCTGTGGCAAGGTTTAATGATGAGGATTATTCCATTTTGGGAATTCCAAAACTTCTTCCCAGTAACTGTCTGTGCAGTTTTCAAGGAACAGGTCATGTGACCTGCAGCGTGCGTTTGGTCCACCACGGCGTGATGACTCATTTTGGACGCTGTCTGCACATGCCAAGGAGAGACATGCTGTCTGTTGTATTAGCAGCTGCGCAGCTGAGACCGGATGATTTCAGACGTGAGTTCATCCCTAAATTCAGACGGTCAGTGTGAGAATAAAAGCTCAACGTCAGCTCGGTTCAGCCCTCACAGGACGCAGGCCCTGACCTTTGACCCGTGTGTTTCAGTGGATCGTGTCTGACTTGGACCTTCAGACCAAAGACGACATTAAGAAGCTCACAGGTTTGACCTTCACCCTTTCACACCGCTTCACTGATGCTAGCTACACAAAGCGCTTCATATGTGGGCGGGGCTTAGAATTTTCTGTGACTGTCTTCACTATGAGAACTCTGTTTAGGAGGAAGCTCTGTGGATTTGTCGCTGGTCTTCTGGTTTTTGGTTCTGTTTCCGTGTCTGTGGATACGTGGTGACCTTAACCACCTGTCATACGACAGAAAACATCATCACGTTCGCCGCACTGGAAAACCACAAGATCATCAAACTGTGTTCGCCGCAGTCCACAGCCTGACCCTGACTGGTTTAATTCACCTGGAAGACACACAGATACAACTAAACCAGGTCCAGACTGGAAACCAGTTCAGTTAAAGGGCCAATTCAGTAACTCTTTGATCCACAAGAAAAGCCTTAATCTTTCCAAGGACTGGAAGCACTTTAAACCTGCAGATGAAGAGACTTTTATTTTGAAATCGCTTCAGGTTGTCAACTATTTTGGTGAAAAGCTCCAGGCTGTGTTTGTCCTTGACTCTTCATCATGGACTTTTTCCATTTCTGGGGAGCAATCTTCACTTCCTCTCCCCTCCCTTTCATAATAAAAGTCCTCCTGTTGTTCAACAGTAAGTCACTTTGTTCCCTAAAGGCTTTTATTGTTTAAGATTATTATTATTATTATTATTATTGTTATTATTATTGATAGAATCATTTAAAAAAAAATCATGTTTTAATGTTTTACAGGTTTATATTTTTTTTTTGCTTTTTCCATTAACAAACCAGTGTTACTCAAAAACAACAACAGGACTACTTTCTGTCCTAAAACACAATGTGTGTCAGCTCAGACTGACAGGATCACAGTCAGTCTGAGCTGAAAACATCTGGCCTTCTCTGATCAAAGGCTTCAAACAAGTTTCTGTAAGCGATGCAGGTGCAGATGGGGGTCATGACCCTCACCTACACCTGCACATGAACCACTCCCACCACAGTTTAGGCAACAAACAGGTTTTATTTAGCAACTCTGAACAGATGCATAGTTTAAACTTGACATGTTTCATCATCTCAGCTTTAGGACAAACTAGCCAATGTGGGGGCAGAAAAACTACAGAAACCTTCAGATGAAACATGGTGAATTCTCATTTCTTCATTTTCATCTAGAATCATGAACTCTCTGTATTTGAACTTTGAAGAGTTAAATATAATGTTTTTAGCTGAAATACTGTTTGACAGACACTAACAAAAGGAAAAGGGAAAGCTCAAGTTTAAGATCCGGGATGTTTTACACAGAGAAACAGAGCAATACAGATCAGGGTATAATCTGCATAAAGACGGCGCTCCGATAACAGCGTTTAGAACAGAAGAAAAACTTGGACAATTTTTTGTTTTAATAAAAAGTTTGTCTGAGGAGGCGATGTTGGGCTCACTTCCATTCTTTAAATCTATACGTGAAGTCTAATAAAGCAGCTTTGCATGAGTCACAGTTCACACTAGGCATGGTGCAGCCCCTCCCTTCATCCCTTGTCCTAAACAAGCTGATTTAGCTCCTCCCCTTTAAGGTTCTTCTGATTGGACCGTTTCTGGAAGACTCAGGCAGGCCTGTTCTTGTGGAGATTCTGAAAACAAATTGTAAACCTGCTAAACCACAGCAGTGCAAACAGAGACGTGGATGCTGTTAGGGGTTAAGATCAAAGTTCATGTCTTTGATAAATATTGCCCTCATTAGCTGCTTGTTGTGGGACACGATGGCAGCCTTACAGTCGCGGCGTATTTCTGTGAATGCTTCTGTAGGTATTCACCATGCTGACAAACACTTATCGAGCTGATGCCGACTCATCAGGAAAAGAAAAGAGTTTGAAGGAGTCTGAACCTGAGAGGTTTGTTTGCACTTCACGAGTCAGCCTTTCTTATACAATCTGGCATCGTCACACTTTCAGATACATAATCAGCACCTGTTCGAAAGTTTCTGAGATTTGATGAGACAGTCAACACAATCGTTTTGGGAAAACTTCCCCGAAAAGAGAATCTGTAGCGCCATTATAACACCCGAGCTTTAGCTCTGAGGAGCAACCTTCAGCTTTTGTTGTGAACTCTGTTCTCAGTGAACAATGCAAAAACTATGAAGCTTCAAACAGCCGAGGACATTCTTCAAATAAAATTCAACATTAGCAGAATGAAAGTCCAAACTCGGTTTCTGACATGAAAAAAACTTCAACAAAATTTTACTGAAGAATCTGAGATGGTGGCAAGAAAGAAAAGCCCACAGGACGTGGGACTGCAGACACTTCCTGTTTCAGTACCTGTGACTCAAACATTCCTACGAGCCCTCCTCAGGTCCTCCACAGTTGGGACCACATGGCTCCTGCCTCCTGTCAGCAGCACTGAGCTGATGGAAGGCAGAAAAACCCAGCGAAGCTGGACCCGAGTCTGCAGCAGAACCAGTCTGGACCAGGTCAGACCAGAGTCCAGCCCAGCGTGCCGATGGAGATGAGCGTCTGGCAGGTGGCCGAGTCCAGCCACACCGACTCCACCAGGCTGAAGTGCAGGAAGCCAAGTGCAAAGCCGCAACCTACGTCTGACAGGTGGTGTTTCCCCAGCAACACCCGAGACACGCCCACCAGGAAGGCCCACAGGCAGAGTAGGATCCTCAGAGGCACCTGGAGGACAGGAGGCGGACACACCTGGATCAGGTTTGTAAACTGTTCCAGTCTTTGTTATTTGTGAAGCAGCAAGCTACTCACCGCCAGCACCAGGTGGTTCAGCAGAAACTTGGACACCATGACGGCCCGACTGGCGTGGGCTGCTGGGAACGAGTACATATCCATGGCAATGTAGTCAAAAAAGGTTGGCGGGAAATCCCACGGTCCCCGACGTTTGACCAACTTCTGCATCCCAGCAACCGTCATCACATCTAGTATCAGCGCTGCAGATAGACAGGTGAGAGACAGGTGAGACAGGCGAGAGACAGACAGGTGAGACAGCAGAGAGACAGACAGGTGAGAGACAGGTGAGACAGCAGAGAGACAGGCAGGTGAGAGACAGGTGAGACAGGCAGAGAGACAGGTGAGACAGGTGAACAGCAGAGAGACAGCAGGTGAGAGACAGAGAGAGACAGACAGGTGAGAGACAGGTGAGACAGGCAGAGAGACAGACAGGTGAGAGACAGGTGAGACAGCAGAGAGACAGACAGGTGAGAGACAGGTGAGACAGCAGAGAGACAGGCAGGTGAGAGACAGGTGAGACAGGCGAGAGACAGGTGAGACAGTGAGAGACAGACAGGTGAGAGACAGAGGTAGAGACAGAGTGAGAGACAGACAGACGTAGCAGAGAGACACAGGTGTGAGACAGGTGAGACAGCGAGAGACAGGCAGGTGAGAGACAGGTGAGACAGCAGAGAGACAGACAGGTGAGAGACAGGTAGACAGGAGACAGAGACAGGAGAGACAGCGAGAGACAGGTGAGAGACAGGTGAGACAGCAGAGAGACAGGCAGTGAGAGACAGGTGAGACAGGCGAGAGACAGACAGGTGAGAGACAGGTGAGACAGCAGAGAGACAGACAGGTTGAGAGACAGGTGAGACAGCAGAGAGACAGGCAGGTGAGAGACAGGTGAGACAGGCGAGAGACAGACAGGTGAGAGACAGGTGAGACAGCAGAGAGACAGGCAGGTGAGAGACAGGTGAGACAGCAGAGAGACAGAGAGCAGGTGAGAGACAGGTGAGACAGCAGAGAGACAGGCAGGTGAGAGACAGGTGAGACAGGCAGGTGAGAGACAGGTGAGAGACGAGAGACAGACAGGTGAGAGAGGCGAGAGACAGACAGGTGAGAGACAGGTGAGACAGCAGAGAGACAGACAGGTGAGAGACAGGTGAGACAGCAGAGAGACAGACAGGTGAGAGACAGGTGAGACAGCAGAGAGACAGACAGGTGAGACAGCAGAGAGACAGACAGGTGAGAGACAGGTGAGACAGCAGAGAGACAGGCAGGTGAGAGACAGGTGAGACAGGCGAGAGACAGACAGGTGAGAGACAGGTGAGAGACAACAGAGAGAGGCGAGAGACAGGTGAGAGACAGACAGGTGAGAGACAGGTGAGACAGCAGAGAGACAGACAGGTGAGAGACAGGTGAGACAGCAGAGAGACAGACAGTTAAGACAGCAGAGAGACAGACAGTTAAGACAGCAGAGAGACAGCCAGGTGAGAGACAGGTGAGAGACAGGTGAGACAGCAGAGAGACAGACAGGTGTCTGACCCAGCAACAGGTTGACAAGCACTTCCTGTCCAGCCAGCGTGCTGCTCCTCCACAGGCAGATTAGGGTGCCACAGATCCAGGGGAGGGCGTGGCCAGTGAGGGCCAGCAAGGTGATCATGGGGCGGAGCGGGGCCCCGGAGCCGCGGGCTCCCACGCAGACCCCTAGACGCTTTGAGAGACTGATGTCAATGGCGAGCAGAGAGCTGATGGCGATACCTTTGAAAGACGGGTTAAGCTGCATGCAGTCCTGCTCCGGCCAGCGGGAGGCATCCTTCGCACCGCCGCTGTCAGCAGTTGGACCGCTCTCGGAGGACTCTCTGGCCCCCCTGAGGACAAGACCAGACTCCATTAGAAAAACCCACATTTTATGTGGGTAAACAGACTGTTGCATGAACACAACTACACTTCCCATCATGCTTTTCTTTACAGGTGCTCAGACTGGCCCAGTGAAGGAGCATCAGCGAACACTGAGATCACCACCTAAAATCTGATTCTCAGGCAGCTTCCTCTCTGCATGTTAATGCTGAGGGAGAGGAGCTCCCACAGTCTGAGGAGGAGGTCACAGACTGAGCTCTGAACTCCTTAAAAATAACTCTGCTCTTCTCAGGTGTCGGGTTTCAGAAGGTTTTATTAAAGCACCGTTACGTTTAAAGGTCACATTCTGATTTTGCATTATTGAATTTAACTGAAGATGATCCAGGATCAGGTCACAGAAAAAGTTTGAGCACCTAAATGAAACTCTGGTCTCGGTCCAGGTCCCGAGTCTGTGGGCGGAGCTTGTTTGTCTTACCTCCCCCCTGTGCTGTCCTGCTGACTCTGCTGTCTGAACACAGGTCTCCTCGGACCTCCGCCCCCCCGTCCCTCCCCCACCGCCTGTTCCCGGCGGGATGGCTGGTTCAGGGACAGAAACTCGGGCCGGTTCAGGACATTGTTGCGGTCTCTGGCCCGGAATTGGGCCTGGCTGCCGGGCATGGTGGTGCAGCGGTGGAGGACGTGCTGGGCCGGGTCTGACTCTGTGGGATCAGCTATTAATAGACCTGCTGGCCTTCTTCTTCTGCTCTCAGCTGTTATTGTGTGTGTGTGTGTGTGTGGGGAGGGTGTTAAAGGGATACTCTGTCTATTTTACTGCGTCTCACCAAAGGTATGTGGACACTTGAATCATAATGGGGGTGGCAGGTCAAAGGTCAAAAGTAAATAGACATGAGGCTGTAGCTGTCCCAAAACGTCGGCTGCGTCCTCCAGAGGCCGCATTTGTAGACGATTACGTCACAGCGACGCGACGAAGGCTGTCCCAATTCATAGACTCCTCTGAATGCAGCCGAGAAATGCGTCCTCCTTTTCCCCAGATTTGATAGCGCAGAATTCATAGCGCAGCCCAGGCAATTCCAGTTTCCAACAATGGCGGCCGCTACTAAGTTTTAATATTACTCTTACTAATTCAAAGTAGCTCACAATTGCTATTGCGCCATCCAATGGACACAATTGGAACAGCAGTTTCTTTATTGAAAAATTGCTGCTCATTTTTATACTTTACAAAATCATCTCACGGGCCGGATTAGGCCCGCAAATGGGTTTAATCCGGCCCGCGGGCCGTCTGTTTTACACCCCTGCTGTAGATGCTAGGATATTGTTTCTTGATAATGTTAATCTCCCTATACCATCGGAGGAAAGTCGATTAGATCTTTGCAGTCCCATTAGGGCGCAGGAAATCTTAGATGCAATCAAATCCTTACAGAGTGGAAAAGCTCCAGGCCCTGATGGGTTTGGGCCAGAGTTTTACAAAAAAATGGCCAAACACATGGTGGGTCCTTTATTAAAAATGTATGTAGAATCTCTTGAGAGGG